AACAAGCTACTCAGAGTTACTGCAATCTGCCAGCGCTTCATTGCCCGTCTTAGAAAAACTCCAGGATCTTCGTTAAAGACATCTCTCAACCCTGGTGATATTGAACAAGCTCGTCTTTTCTGGATCAAGGCTAGTCAGTCAGCGCATTTCTCGTCCGAACTGATGACCTTGTCCAGAGGTCAAAAACTCAGACCTTCTCATCCGCTTACTCGATTGACAGCGCATATTGATCACCAGGGGATTCCTCGCGTTGGCGGACGTCTCAAGTTTGCTCAGCTCGAAAATGATAGCAAACATCAAGCTATTATTCCGAAAGAGTCTCAGTTTGCTCAGCTCATCATCAAGGATGCTCATCTCAGGACTCTTCACGGTGGAACGCAGCTCACGCTTGGACAGCTCAGACGATTTTACTGGATCCTCGGAGGTCGAGGGCCAGTAAGATCATTTATATTAAAGTGCGTTCCATGTGCGCGACAGCGAGGAATCAGAGCCCAACAACTCATGGGCCAACTCCCAGTAGCACGTCTCTCTCCTGGCCGTGCCTTTCTCAATACTGGAATTGATTACGCCGAACCAGTTTCGCTCCGCTCATGGAACGCACGTGGCCATAAATCCTATAAAGGCTGGTTCACGATTTTCGTTTGTATGACCACGTCGGCGGTTCATCTCGAAATCGTCTCAGATTACTCGTCTGACGGCTTCATGGCAGCGTATCATCGTTTTGTCGCTCGGCGCGGGCTTTGTAGGAATTTGTTCTCAGATTGTGGAACAAATTTCCTTGGAGCCAACAAAGAAATAAAAAAGCTCTTCTCAATGGCGTCCAAGGAATCGGGCCAGCTTGCTCATCTCTTGCTCAACGACGGTACAAGGTGGTCTTTCAACCCACCAGGTGCTCCTCACTTCGGAGGAAAGTGGGTAGCAGCAGTCAAGTCGATTAAGTTCCATCTCAAACGTACAATTGGAGAAGATCTGCTCACTTTCGAGGAACTAACCACTCTCCTTCCTCAAATCGAAGTCGTGCTCAATTCTCGACCACTTGAGCCTCCCTCAGAGGACCCTGATGACATCTCAGCGCCCACTCCAGGACATTTCCTGATCGGACATGTGCTAACCGCTCTGCCAGAACCTTCTCTAGACAATTTGAACATCGCTCGTTTACCTCGTTGGCAGCTCATCCAGCAGAAAGTTCAGAGCTTCTGGAAAAGGAGGTCCACCAGTTATCTTCAGCATCTCCAGTCCATCTCCAAGTGGCATCACCCATCTCACGACATCAAGATCGGCTCTATAGTCCTTCTCACCGACGAGAAGTTTCCACCGACGAAATGGCCTCTCGCTCGAGTTACCGCTCTCCATCCTGATAGAGATGGGCTCACCAGGGTGGTAACCATCAAGACGTCCAGCTCTACTCTTCAGCGGCCCATCGCTAAGCTCGCCCTGCTACCAATCTCGATCAGCGACTTCTGATCTTCTAGTCCAGCGCACCTAGATCTTTTTAGAAGCATCATGCTGATCTTCGTTAATTCATCTGAACGGCTGAGTCCACCACTGCTCTGTTCTTGTCCAGACCTCGATGAGGATTTACGCCCTTCGTCTTGGAGCGGAAGCCAGTCAGTCTAGATCTCCGGAATTTACGCCTCCAATGATTCTGACTGTGCTGGCAATTGATCGTCGCTGATGGACTCTAGTGGTGATATTGACCATCGAGTAATTATTGTCCTGGCTCGATTATTCTTTCTTGTGTTCTAGATCAACTCATGAACGTCAGCAGTTGCTGACGGGTGGGGAGAATGTTCGGTTTTCTACCGAATTTCCTTACTCTCGCACACACACATACACACACTCATGACCCACTCGGCTGATTGACTCGCTCGCTCACCTCAGATGACCAGTGGCCTTTTACCTCTGACACCTGAGGCGCCACTTGATGGACAGGTGTAATTGACCATCGCGATTATCGATACCTCCCACCTTGCGGCTTATCACTCTCTCTCATTTGCATATC